CGGTCATGTCCATATTCAGGTTGTCTTTCCACCGCATTCTAGGTCGGCCTTTTGGACGTTTACCGGTGAAGACGACCTTATCAGCGGACTTCGATACAGCATCAGAAGGTCTCCGTTGAACGTTGAACAAATAAAATTCTCTGACATAAACAATAATGGGGAAAGGAAGCTGGGTCCTATACGTCAACGATGCGTGCAGGAACCAGTCTTTGACACAAGAGAATAGGCACGAAATAAAAATAAATCCGAAAAAAACTGTTTAGAGGAAGAAAGAGTCCGCCTTATTGGCTTGTAGAGGAGGGGGGGGGCGGAACATCCGGGCATACCACTTTTAGCCAATAATGAGATCAATCCCTGACAGATTCTCCATTAATCCCGACATGGTAACGGTGATAATGAGGTCTCTCTTCAGCAATCCGAGATTGTTGCAAATTGCTTTTTCCAACACTATCGTTTTCTTCAGAGCCTGTTAGTCAAAAATTATATCCGCAATACTTCGCTCCAGCCTCATTGTCAGCCTTTCCGGGAGATACCGCGTCCACTCATTACCCTTACCTTGTAGACCGCCCGGAGACGTTTACATATGCATCTGTTATGCCGACCGTGCTTCTTACTGGTGAGAACCATTTCACTGGTTAACACGGTGGCGACAATGCGTCTCAAGGCATGCAGTACTTATGAAAAGTGCTTTTAAACGTACATATTTCAACTTCCTAACAACCACTTATTAGCAAGCGACAGAGAGGGCGGGGGGGGGGGGCATTTCGCTTTCCATCGATGTGTCGACCCATCTAGAGATAGCCTTTTCTTGAGTTGACACGTTTTACCATGGTGGCTAGACGAGCTTGCTCCAGCTTCACAAGAGTTCACAAGTTGCACCAGATGAGGTAAACCGGAAGTGTAGTGAAACAGTGAAAGTGCAAAGTGCTCCCCCACCCGTCTGTGATAAATGGAAGCGCTTTTCTGAAGTGAAAACCTTTCGGAGATGTGGAGGTGAAACTTCACAAGCAGTCAGCTATTGTACCGGTACAACTTCTGAGCCAGGAGGTCTAGAGCAAAAAATGACTGTTTTCCAGGCTTGGAATCAGATTCCGTGTGCATGTAATAAATTCATGAAGATTTGTGGTTTATAATCGCTACTGGAAGTAATGGAATCCATGGAAGACTTGAATAGCTTCTGCATGGAGTTCTACTCTTCTTGGCATCGCTTCGATCTAGGAGCCTTCTAGCACTAGAACGCTTTTTTTTTGGAAGAGAAAAAACGCCGCTGTCGCCAATGTGTTGAAGCTTCGAGCAGATCGCCGTCTCCGGGACATGAATGATTTGAACTTCTCAGTTGAGAGGTTGGGTACGCTGCGCGTCTCAAAAAGGGTACAGTCGATCCAGTCAACCAGTGAAAGACCAATGACTTCAATCTTAAAGACAATGCCCGCGATAAAGTGTAACAGGTAGCAGGCGTTCACTAGCCTATCATAAACTTATCATAGAGCAAGAAGCGAAAAATGGTTGGGAACGCCGTAAAGCCACAGATCTCCCTCCCCCCCCCCCTCCCTTCCCCCCACACACACAGTGGGGCCGTCGCCTTAGACGAGCCTTCATTCATGAGTACAGCCAGGTTAGCGGATTTCTAAGTGGCCACAACAATTCCCGGACACATAGGAAACGCCCTATGACGCTCCAGGCAAAGCTATGTACGCACGCATTTCCGCTTGCAAGCCTTGCAGAGTTACAGTACGCGGTTGCACTGGTTGCAAAAATCATGCGTCTCTAACTTCGTTATCTCGCCGTTTCATGTGACGGAAGTGGTATATTCTCTGCGAGAGGGACAACGATGCCAGATGCACGAAGGCATTTCGCTGATCACTTGATCGCGGAAAGCGTCTTTAAGTCACAGCTTATTTTTCAAGTCGGTACATAACGTGATTTCAGTGCGCGACGAACGGTCTCTGTGGAGTTCAACCATATTGCGCTGCATATGCTCCACCACCGCAGCCATGTCAATGCGTACAACGAGGATATGCATGTGGTAGTTATGGATGTTATCGGTATGTTCTGAAAGGCTATAGTGATTAATATTGATATTGATTGATATGATATATCTGCGGAGATCCATTCAAAGCATGGTGTATTATGCAAACTCCTAGCAAAATAGCGAGCAGTAAATCCTGAGAATATATTATATGATCTACTACCAACCACTTTTTTTTGCTGAGGTTGATTGCGGTTGCGGTTGATTGCAATTGGGACCTTCAAAACCAGCTTCATTACAGATTCAGTGTTCAAAAATTTTCGCTGCACGTTTCACGGCCCTCATTCCTGAAAAACCTATTGAACGTGTCAGGGGTATGCGCAAATTTGTTCAAAAACATGAACAGGGTTTTTATGTAAGTAAACGAAGCGCTTTTCGAACAGAACTGATTTCGCGTTTCGTGAGGAGTGGCTCATCCATTCAGAATCATTCTTCGCAGTGGCTCCAGCTCTTCAGACCTTCTGTAACCATTGATAGAAGGTCGAGCAAGAGAGGAAGATTTACCGACGGCGTGCACGCGCGGGGCCATAGCGGGGCGCGGGGACCGGACCAGTGACCAGACGCTGCCAGTCACTATTTACTACACTCTTCAGACCAATTCACATCTCAACATCACCGGAGCATAAAAAGGTAAGTACAAACGATATACACAATGAAATTAGCCTTACCCTTTAGAAAGATACCTTATCATGGGAACATCTATCTCAACAGTCTTTCATGTCGAACTGTGAACCATTACATCTATTTGACACATTTCTTTCTTCCCCTGCCGTCCATGTCCTTATATATAGTGAGAACAAAGAACCGCTTATGGGCGCATGTATGCTTTGTGGGGCGCTGCAAATCATTCTACTTACAAGGGAACCCCAACAGGTCGACCCGGCCGTTTGCAATGAGATGTACACATGTGGACGTGTCTTGAGCCGCTGAATCCAAATCTACCCTCCGTTTTTGCGGAACGATTCTCTGAACGGAGTTATGGGGCTTTTTCCACCGCATTTACCACGCAACAGGTCGTGGGATCGAATCCCTGCTGGGCTTCACTTTTTTGCTTCCTGCGCAAACGTGGCAAAATGTGGTTTTGCTTTCACTACTACTTCAGTGCTCACCTAATCTTGCCTGAAGAAAACTTTGCGTCCATTTATGAATGCGCCTAGGCACCTTGTAGAAGCCTTGTAGTGCAGGAAAATATTGGGGTGCACAGGTGCCCGTCGTGCGCGATACAGGCGTTTTCACGCTCAGCGAGTGCCATATTCGTGTTCAGCGGGTCAAAATACCTTTATACACAAGTTGCTAGCCAAATCTGGCATTTTGACCTGATTTCCATAATTGAACCATCCATGGGTTAGTTCAGCTGATGTTCACACCTATTCAGCTGCAGATACATTTGCCTGCACAACGCCTTGTCTTGCACCTTCTTACGCATTCATTTTGTTACTGCTCCAGTTTTCCTGGTATATAGAAGAAAATTCCGGCCAAAGACAGGCAATCGACAAGAGACTGCCCTGGAACTAGTGGTGACCACCATCGGATCAACTGCTACCGGAATTTTAAAGATAGGTCAAGACCTCATATCTGGCTGGAAATAGGTCAAGACCTCATATCTGGCTAGAAACCTGTCCCCAAGGGTAATTTTGCTCCCTGAACACGAATATGGCACCCATTTGACGTTTGAATGCATTCTAGACTTAAAAGAGACATTCCCCACAGAATTTAAATGCAACTCCGTTCAGAGAATCGTTCTGCAAATTTCGAAGGCAGATTCGAGATCAGCGTCCAAAACCACGTCTAGTGAACTATATTTCATTACGAATGGCCACTTGGACCTGACGACCTTCCCTAGTAGTAGTGGCGACCTTCTCCATTCCTCGATGCGAGCTCTAGAAACGGTCATTCTCATTGGAGTTCTCATTCAAGTTTTCAGAAGGTGTAACAGATGGAGCAATGATCGCTTCTATTGTCAAATAATCAGAGATTCAGGTCAACTGGCCAAACAGAAGTGTTCTGGGGACTCGTATGGAATGTTCTGAACAAAAGCAAAAATGTTCGGAGTGTCAAGGATTCCAACATGCGACATCGTGTTCCATTTCTGTCGTGTTCCTGAATCAGTGCACTTATCCACTAGGCCATCGGCGACCTGCCGTGAGCAACCATCCCTCTCAACTTATACAACGAGCAAAGATTTGATGGTCCGTAACTCCGTTCAGAGAATCGTTCCGCAAAAACGGAGAGTAGATTTGGATTCAGCGGCTCGAGATACGTCCATATACCTACTTCTCATTGCAAATGGCCGGGTCGACCTGTTGGGGTTCCCTTGTTAGCCGCGCTATTGCTGGAGCGACAGCCTGCACGCGACGCATTGCTTGCGCACTGCCGGTGTGAGTTTTCCGTGGAAGCTGTTTCCAGATAATAGGGCCTCACAAGGAACAAATTCACTGCCAGCCTAGAGTAGCCCTTGATGTCCGATCAACAGTCTCACATACTTGGTTCACTTTGGCTTAACGGGAAATTACCCAAATGTGCTCCGCCGTGCCGCCTAACGTCGGTATACAAAAGTGATATCATTCTTGGCTTCAAATTTTACAGAACTTTACAAACATGTCCCCGTCCAGATGGAGCCTTTCTATCGTATACACGTTCTACGGTATGTGATCTTATCTGTTCCTAAGGTAAAGGGAAGTCCCACCATGTATCGTATTCTACAAAAAGCCATGAACATAGCTGCAGCTAAACTGCTTTCTGTGCTAAATTTTGAGTTCAAGGGAAAAAAGAGAAATTGGAAGCAGAAAAAAGAGAAATTGGAAGCACAATTACATAGTGCGCGGAACAGAACGTTTTATAGGAAAGCATAGCTAAAGGTTCACGCTAGTCCGAAACCAAAAGTTTCGCCCGCTGTCACTTTTGTACGTATTTCAGAGCTCGTGTCCGGGCGGCAAAGAGCTTCCAACCTGTACGATCGCGTGCTCGTTTCATGGTTGATTCGTCAAGCGTCGAGCAGGATAGAGAAGTGCTTATGGACAGGTGGGAAAAAACTTCTTGTCAAGCTTCAGAATAAAAGCCTCATCAAAACTGAATGAGAAAATGACTGGCCTCCATCCTCACTCAGGGTGAGATTAGTGCTACTGCCTAACAGTAACATGCAGATAGAGCACAACTGACAAACCTCTCGTCACTAACGAAGACCACAATTGTTCTGCTTCAGGCTCCGACATAGTAAGCGTCTTCGTAACGAGCCGATGACAGCCAGTGAGGAGCTCGAAGTGATTTCACCTACAGTAGCCGAGAACCGACGCGGTAGTGGACCAGTTGTACGTTCTTTTGCTATGCTTTGAAAACACAATTAGGTGCAGAAGGATCTGAAACTGTTGCACTTATGGCTCTGGCAGGGAAGTGGTCTAAAGGCACAGCCCGCGACCAGGCATCACACGGACGGGGGGGGGAGAGCAGTGGTGGAATAGTGATGCCAAAGTGCCATGAGAATCAGTTGGGAAGAAAGGAGCAGAGATTGTTACAGGTATTCAAAATAATACTCCCTTCGGAGCAAGTTCGCCCTAAGAGAGGCGTAGTTGGATGAGTAATACTTGTTGGTGGGAATCGTCTTTAAAGTTACCTGAAGACTACTTTTGACTGTGCAGCAGTTGAGGAGTTGGTAAGCCAGGTCAGACTGACTGAATGACTTCGATGTGATTCAAGAATTTTCGCGCTTGCACCGTGCCCTCCACCTTCAACGTTCACCCGCTAGCATGAAGAAACATGAAGAATGAGTTCTCACTTGAGAGAAGGAAAACGACTTTTCTTTTCCAGGATCCCAACCGCGCATTCCTCGACTGTTGTATTGATAGACAACTCCCAGATGCTTGTCTTGCCAAGTGCAACTTCAGGACTTACACAAAAGAATCGGTATGTTTCATTTTGTTAAGGGCTTGTTTAGTTCCACAACAGTGTACGTGCTGATGACTTCGAGTTGGGAAATATGAAATGTGAATATGAAAAATTTAAAAAAAATGAAATGAAAAATGAATAAATATGAAAGACCCCATTTCTTTTTTTTCGTATCTCTAACCTTACTAACTTCTGATAAGCCACTCACTGGACTTTTATGCACGTACTGCATAAAAGTCCAGTGAGTGGCTTATCAGAAGTTGCATATGAAATAAAACTGTCGTTCTAATTGTTGCATTTCCTTACAGCTGTCGGCGATGTACTTCAAACAAGACCCATGTCCATTGGAAGCAATGAAGGAGATGCAGTTCTGTGCTGCTCAAGGAGGGTAAGCGAGATTTTTTTCCTGTAGACTCCGTGCCTGATCACTAGGAGTTGAACTGAAACTTTACACTTGTTTCTACAGCGTTGTATATAAAATCATATTTAATAACATCATCGCGCCCGTGGAGACATGCCTTGATTAAATTGTCGGTTGTCCAGAACGCCTAAGCTCAGATGCCAAGTGATCAGAAACATCGAAATTATCCCAAGTTAAAAAATCGAAGTTGTAATAATGGCTACAGCTCGCGGAGGCGGAGCTAGCTTTTATCGCTGAGCTCTGGCCCTTTTATCAAACGCTTTCGAATCGCGGAAGCAGGACATTGTTCGCGATTGCGGACCTTGCTAACATGTGCACCAAGGAGCAACTGCGCATCGGGTACTTGTAGATGCTGTCTCAAGAAATAAGTTGCTCTCACAGTCCGTTACGTGAACCACGCGCTACAACTCTGACTGGGAACAGATCATCCCGAAAGATATAGGATGAGGATACTGTAGAGGGAGCTCGTGGCTCTTCCCAACTAGTTCTCTTTTGTGGTACTTTTTCAATGGATGAGAGTTTGCTTCTTTTCTGAACTTTCTACATTCTAAATGCAGCACATTTCAGGGATCACACAGCCTGCTGTGCTCGCAATGGAGTCACAACAACCCTTGCCGGCATGAAATGCCTTGCATTCTGTGATCAACGGCTAGGTTTGTAGAGCAGTTTCTCACCTCTGAAAGACAAAACTACGCAATAGAAACCGAATATTGAAGAGCTCATTCTATGCCACGCCAAATATATCAGACAAACTAACATTCAATGCGTTCTGCACTACGTGGGCTATGTTTCGCAGAAAGTCGAAGTCGCATTAGGCGCCGAGTGTCTGGTAAGAGAATAAGAACTGCCTCGTTCTCACTTCTCTTCAGAGCCTCGGAAGGGTGTACACCAATGTGAGAAGCGGACTTATTCACTGTTTCTGCCCATCCGGTAATCGCGTAATCTAATTTTGATTACAATTTACTTGTCCACTTTCCGAGGCAACCCATCGAAGACATACTGCTAGACTACAATACACGGAAAAAAGGTCCCAGTATGCATTGTCCGATGCTAGCTGACCCTCCAATCAGGAGAATGTGGACGAAATCATCGCTCTTGCAGCTGGGCGTGTACATGGAGAGACCAAAGGTAAAGCGCCAATGAGGCTGTGAGGGACCGGACAGGGATCCCTTCAGTGGTGAGGGGGGGGGGGGGTGCGGACATGGAAAGGATACGCAGTCAGTAACTCGTGAAATATGTCTTCAATTGAGGGGAATGGGAGAGGACGATAGGAGCTGGAGTGGCTGGAGTGCCAAAATTAAGTGTTTTGGTCAATAATGCGCAATGAATCCCCTCTGAATTCCCCACTTGGAATCTGACATTTTTCATAATGTCTTCAGAGGGTTATCTCCTCAAAGAAGAGTTCTACGCAGTGTATCCTTTTTATCTATTTTCCCCCGCTCCCCAGCGGAAAAGTGCGACCCCCTGTGTGTTTCATACAACGATGCCGTACCCTGCGTGTAGGAGCAATACTAGGATGATAGGAGGAATAATATTTTCTGCCTTATTTCTTCTTCATTTTATTTTCCACGTTTTATCTATTTCACAATTTTACATGGCCACTTCTTTCCATTGCGAAAAAGCGTACTCATTTTTCAGGGCATCCCCGACAACTAGATATGTCGTACGTGCCGTGCTTTGACCGCTTCGAAAATATGAAGGCATGCTTTTGGCACGACTTGACCCGGTACTACCGATCCAAATGATAAACCTTTGTTGGTCACTAGGCTGCTTCTCATTTGTTGACCAGAATCTCACTGCCTTTTTGCTTAGTACTCTTAGAATGGTATGCTCTGTGCTGTATAGTTTTGTATTCATTTCTTCTTTGAAAGTTAATAAATGATCAAATGATCTTCATAAATATAGAGCCACGGTCAAGCATCAGGTTGAGAACAACTGCCTCGTCGAGACGACCCCAAAAAGGGTGTCCATACGACCCCTCCCCCTACGCGACTAAATATCTAAGCTTGGCTTCCTAGAACGACGTAATTTTGAATGACGCTCTGTTTCAGCTGGGTCGCATTTTAGCGTTGGCGCACGCTATCACTCTCCACAATACAGTAATTTCATCCGAAACAATAGTGAGCCCTCAAGATCCGTGAGGCTGACGTGCCTTCTTTTGGCGCTCGACGATAAAGCTGACTATCAGGGTTGAGTGACCACTTTGCTGAGAAGCTGGAGGGTTCATCTTTCCCACCGTTACAACGACACTCTCCAGGAAACTGCACACAAGTGGCTCAACCGTGAACGTTAGACAAGTGCTTCAGGCTAACACGATTTCTGTAAGCCACCTTGAGCTTGACGGCGATGATGGATCGCAGCACCTTGTCGTGACCGTGCGGTCTAGGTGGAGTGCTTCCCCGTGCTTATGGAGAGAGGTCCTAGAAACCTCAGACCATGGTCTTTGGTCTTACATGTAGTTTGCCGCCCTGGGCGTTAAACTCGGTTAGCTTTTCCTCCACGAGCGAAGAATGTTCTTGTGTGGCCACCAGTAGAGTACTGCTCGTTGCTGCACGTCCACTGCACGTTTCCTTGATAGCGTCACATAGGATATCCTGAAAGGAGCTCTTATGTACGACTAGCTTACAGACTCCCAAGAGACTTTCATTTCACTGAAGGAATGCATTTCCACATCTCAATTTCAGTGCAGCCACTTTTCTTTTGTGCTCCTCTTATCGAACTGCAGAAAAAGTTCTTCACTCGTCTTGCGACCAATCCAACACAATTTGCTTCCTTTTGCTGAGCATTCCATCTTCAGCTGCGCTTTCACAATGCCATCATGTGTTCCTCCTCCTCAACTGCTGTTACCGGTAACCCTAAACCCTTTTCCTGGAAAAGAGAAACATTTCACACATTGCCGAGGCAACGGCGACATTGGAGGGCACAGCAACAGTTTTTCCGCTTTTTTTCCATAGCATAACTTTTCATTTTTTCAAAAAACCTCTTGCTCTTGTTTACTGTAGGTCATCAATTTGGAATAGGATCAAACAAGAAACAGACGAAATTAAAGGAGGAAGAAACGTTGGCGGGGCTGAAAGCAAAGGTGCGCCTTATACATGTGTGCGGCTTATCTCCAGACACTAGAGCAATTGTTGTCAACATTACTTTGAGTAAATATTCAACATAGTTGGCCCTGCACAATTGGTAGCCTGGAAGACTGCATCTAAACATGGAAGGTTCACGAAAACCTTCCGGCTTCACTAACCTCTTTCTTGTGTTGCGTCGTGCGTCCAACTTCTACATATTTGGGAGCGCGGCGCATTTTTTATGAGATTTGTCTTATCCAATAACTCGCTATGATCCGCCGTTGCTCAAATCATGTTTTCTTCCTCCCGGACAACTGTGGCACAATGGATCAGCGAAGGTAAGGATTGCTTGACCCACTACGGCTCACTGGGGCTCACTCGGAATTCGTTCATCCACAGGGCTCCTTGTGAGCAGAACACTTGCCTTTACAGCCCCATTCAACCCAATTGAGCTCCAACCCCCACGGTTTTCATAAGCTTTCAACGAGTAGTTGTTATTAAGTAATCAGAATAACTAATAGATAACAGAGAATTCAGAGTCAGTGGGGTTCTGGCAGATCCATTCGGGTTGATTCTCTTCTGCGAGCCCCACAACAGCTCCCTCTCCTGAACTTTCCTTCTCATAGTTCAGAAGAAGGAGCTGCTAGGACCTCATTATTCACTTCTGGCTAAGCCTTTTACATCTGCGCTGCGGTCCCAACCCTAGGTTACCCTTGATGCATATTCAACACGCCATTTGTGGTACTAACTCATAATTACCTTCAAAGCCGATTGGAGCGGTATAATCTGGTACAGCTGCGGATAACGTGTCCAGAACACTCAAGCTTCTATTCTACCTCCAATGTGGTGCTCCAATCCCTGGGCTCCAGGTAGTTCTGCTACGGTTTTTCAACAGCTCTCGTTCATGATGGAAACTTTCCACCTAGCGATTGTGAACCGAGTTCGGCAAACCAATTTCGGAGAATTTTGAATGGTATGGGGGCGGCAAATTGGCTGGAAACGAGCTGGTCCCATATATTATTTAAGTGTGAGGTCGTTCACTAGCAAATTCACATGCTTCGCATGCATGTTTCATTAAACTTTCTTTCATTGTAGGTCAGCGGTGGGCTGCTAGCGGACTACGACGCGCCCACCTTTGATCCAACACTCGCAAAGGATGCTCCAGTCCCTCAATCTATCCCTGACTCCTATTATTACTTATGCTAGTATGCGATCTGCCCTATACTCTATGAACCATGATTACAGGAAGTATGGTTAGATAGCCGTTATACTTAATTAGATAGATCTGGTATCAATTCATATCTCGATGTGGATAACGTCGTGGATAACGTGGATAACGTCGTAATTAGTGAAGGGCGGTGTCAAGGGGGTGAGAGGTGAGGAAAGAGGGGGGGGGAGGAGAGGAACAAGCACATTCCGGCAGCCGTGCTCTCAGGGTATCTGTCAGCTGTGAAGCCTCCTTATTCCTTCCTTCCTTCATTGTTTCTTACTTTCGTTCTTTCAAATGCTCGGCCAAAAGATGCGATGAGAAATTGTCTCTAGACATACACAGTGAAAAAACATCTGGTTGACAGGAAGCCTGTAACCCTACAATGGTAAACGGCCAGTGATTAGTTTTGGAAGGAATAACCAGCAGTGGAAACGCCGCAGGTGGGGTCACATCCATCTGAAACCACCCCGATTGACTGCGATAATGAAAGGAGAGGATAAAGTCCTTGCCGTTGATCAATCTCTTTCTGAGATGCAGCACCCCTTCTATTTGAGACCTTAGTGGCTTATTGAATGCGATGTGGCCTAGACAATGAATTGCAGGGCCAGTCAATGTTTTAAATCTTTCCCTAGCTACCGATTCGTCTCGAAAAAACATCAACCCAGTTGATAATTTTGCTACTTGTTATGACACCTATAGCTGATCAGCTCAACATGCATGAGGGAAGTATGACATAGCGCGAGTTTCCTACGCAGTCAGACAAGGCAGTCGTAACCTGTCGCGTCGCCGCAGGCGACTGTCGTGTGACAGATTCTCTACGTACTTCAGTTCGTCGCTAAGATCAGCGAAAATCGTACAAATTTGGGCGGAAATAGGACTCCATACCAGGCAATGCTGAATTTTCCCCTCTTCTCAATAGACGAAGTAAAACGGCTAGGCAGGACGACTCGTCTGTCGGCACGACGTCGCTCGCCACGCCCACCAGCTCAGCATGTTATGACTGTTTTGTCATCCAGTCTCGTGAAATCGTGGTCAGAGCCAAAAACGCACTCAAATGTCATCAATAAATGGATGTCGGATGCGCGGCGCATACCAAAAGGGATTGCATAAACAACAGAAAATAAGCGACTAATCTGTTCTAACCTTTTGGACGATAAGATCTATGACGCATCCATACCTTTTTATTTCTGCCAATCTTTATTCGATCGATCGTTTCCTGCGGCCATGTATTTAGTTATCGACTGATTCATAACATGTTTGCCTTTTGTAGCCGCAAGCCCTTAGTCAACATTCCCTTCGTCGGGGTTCATTCGTTGTCCAGCGGTGTTACGATTGCTATTCTAACTGTCAGCCGCTTCCTGAACTTTTCTGACATTTTTGTTGCCTATTGATTCTTTCCACAAAAGCGGAAAGAAATCCGTCATTTTTGCATACATATTTTAATTTGAGTAGGTAGAACAGGGTTTGTTTTTCTGCAGCAATGCATGATTAAGATTACCTTATTACTGCAATCACTGGTGATTCTCTGAGTCTCATTGTTCCAAAAAATTAGTTACGGAAGCATGACGGCATATTTTCCAAAATTTAAAGGCAAGTCCACGATACAAAAGGCAGGAACCTCCCATACTCATTAGGGACGGTGTCAAGAGGCATGGAATGAGTCCACCAGCGCTGTTTCCTGCCACTGACTGCCTTCCTGAGGAGATCACTCACCAGTCACTGTTGGCAGAAAGTGCAGCCAGAGCCAGGCTTATCCCGCCCCTCCTAGCACCGCCACGGATGTGCGCTGTATCTATTGTGACGGTGCGGTGACCACGTTCACAATAGGAGAAGGTGTACTACATTCACGTCTAAAATTGACGGATACAGCGCAGGAACCTGGATACTCATGGGCATCCAACGCTCATGTCATCCTGAGTAGTCGTGCCTTCATGGTAATGCCCTTGCGCTCTCTCACCCATGGTTTCTGGCCTCTCCCCTGCGCTTTTCAGTGTATCATCGAATTTCGCTTATTGCAGTCGATCTTCACCATCTTACCCTTTCTGCTAATGTTATCAGCAGCGAGGAGGGGGTCTTACCAGGAAAGGATGGTTGGTCGAAGTGGCCATTTGAAATGAGATGTATACCGGCTGATGCGTCTTTGGACACTGATTTCAAATCTGCCCTCCAAATCTGCTAAACGATTCTCCGAGCAGAATTATGGAGGCTTGTTGAGCAGACCACTGCTCGAGACCACCAATGCTCAGCAAGTATATAAATGATGGGTGAGCTCATGTGCAAAGTCAAGGGTTCGGATCCCTCCGGAAGTCGTCGTTTTGCATTTTCTCAAAAATGCTCCCTGCACATCCTAAAGCACTTTTGCGGGGTTAGGAGACCTGATCTTACCAAAAAATGTTGTTTCTGAAGGAATGGAGCCATTCTGGAACACTCCTGAAGGATACCCTTGATTGCTTGGTTTCGGCGGCATTAA